AGGAGAAGTCCTGTTATTTCTTGCTATAAACTGTTAATGATTTGTACTATCCATGCGCAGTATAATTCATTTCTCATATTATTTGACCCTAGTAAGTGTCAAGTCGACCTCTTGTCTCTACTTCTTCGAGATTAGACATGATACTTACTGGGTACATATTGTTTATGTACTCATACTATACTTATATACTTAGTTGTACAGAATCTGAGGCAGGTACATCTGGTTACCAGTCGGGTGCGCATTCTTGATCAGTATCCGAGACTTCCACGGGGAACTGCTCCCTTCCCTGGCCGTTCAGCAGCATGATGGAGTCTCTCTTTATTTTGATTGTCTATTCTATTTCAGACTGCAGGGTAGATTTATTCTTTTGTATATTCTACTAGTTGCTCATAAACTTGTGACACCAGGTCTTGACACACACATTGGTAGACTATTCTTATGGGGATTGTATAATTATTTTTGTACGTTACTAGTTATCACATGCTTTTAACTTCAAATTTAGAAGTTTCTGTACTTGTTTTAGTAAAGTGAAAATGAGAACTTATTAATACTTCCGCGTTGGCTTGCCTGACAAGGGTGTTGAGCGCCATCATGATCTATAATGGAATTGAGTCGTGACAATTTTTATCTATCAATATTATATCCGTGTATGATAGAGTATTTGACAACCACAATGACAATATTTTTGCAAATAAATAAACTAAAATTCGACAACAAAGTAAAATTGAAAGCCTGTCAATTGCATACACAAAACGATGATAAAGAAAGAGTAAAAAAGCACATGTTTTCAGGCTTGCTTCGATTTCAAAGAAAAATACAATTACTTTGAGAAGTTTACTGAATTTTGTTAACTTCTTTCTGCATCACCACACTTTAACACTGATATTCATGAAAGACAGTTAAACTTTTAGTCTAAATCCCATTGAATGAAAAGAATTATTTTAACTTAAATACTGGTACCGATATATGAAATATTTTAGAGTTTAAGTGCAAGAGAAAATTAGAGTTGATATTCGTAGTTCATATTTTTATGCTCTAATTCAAGTGCAATAGGGAATGCCATATAGAGTTCATAATCGTAGTTTGAATTTAATAAGAAAAGGAGTAAAACTTTCTTAATCAACAACTTTAGACACGCACCATAGAGTTTTAGGATTCTAGTCAAATAACATTCTTAAATATTACAATTCTATCCCGTGCCAAATAAAAAAAATCGATCAATATTTTAGGGTTATTTTGGTTCATCAACGTTCGTACGATGTATGAAATATCTTGTGTCAAAAGTAATAAACTTTCGATCTTCTATCTAATCAAGCGGCTTCGCTCCATTACAACTTGATCCGGTAGTTGATAATACATGTTTGGATTATCGACATGTGTTTTGTAAATTCAAAAGGCTGAAACTTGATTTGGTTTATTTTCTGTTATTATGCTTAAATCTCTATTAATGATAAGATTAAAAAGAAAACGTTAAAATTTGTTCTACAAGATACCCCTCAATATAATGTCTTCTCTTCCCATGAAAGCAAAAAGCATTTCATTGATTTCTTTTAATTAATTTTACCAATTCTTTATCTTGATAAACCATGATTATTTTTTTAATTTTAGACAATAAAATTTTATCGAACACAAATTACTAGAGAAATCTGAAATAAGTCAATGACAACAAAAAAGATCACTACTTTGTACGATGTAATACCAAAATCAACTCAGTAAAATTGGCGTATGTGTAGTTTAAATCAAAAAAGAATTCTAAACTTAAGTGTTACAACTATATCCTTAAATTATAATATTTAAGGTCATAAAAGTCAACTAATTATTCAGAGATATTTCTTAATAATAAAATTTTATCAAATATAAACTGTTTGAGAAAAAGTCAGTAACAAAGTAGAAGAAAAAAGATCAATACTTCATACGTTATGATACCAATCAGTATATGCCAAAATTCAAGGTCCAATTAAAAGGAATAGTCCAAAACAATAAAGTCTCAAAAGAATTTTACCTAAAATCAATTTTGTAGGTTGAATGCATGTTTAGTTTAAATGGAAAAAGAATTCCAGACTTGGGTGATTTACAATTATATCCTTAAATTATACAAATATTTAAGGTCATAAAAGTCTATCAATATTTTAAGAATATTTTAGTCGTTCAATATTTAGCATAAATTATTCGTGCTTTTATAATAACTAGTATTAGGGTACGCGCTTTGCACGTGTACCTATATCAATGAATATACAAATTTTTAAAATTACATACATATTATTAGATAATTTATTTTATAAAATAAAATTTAAGAATTTTTTTAAATAATAAATATTATTCCCATGAGTTAGCTTAACAAATGAAGGAATTTTATTTAGAGCCTTATTGTAATTTATCCGGATTTATGTCGAAATAAAAATTGTTGTTTTTATGTGACTTAATACTGAAAATAAAATATAAAAATATTTTTTATCACAATTCTTTAAAGATTTGACAAATAATACAAATTAAAAATAAATTAAAAAAAGTTGGTGTTATATCTTCTAAAAATTTGATAGTGACAAATTTAACATTTAAAGAATGACTAATATTGAACTAATATTTTACAAGAAAAAATTTAGTATAAATATTTAGCGAGACGTTTTCATTTGTTGGACTGAATGCAAGAAAGAAACAAATAACAACTTATTTATAACTGGTTGTCTTCTACAATTTTATCTTATTGCTAATTTGTACTTTTACCTATTTGAATATACTATAATTGACTTTGCTATATTTATGATTTCTTTTACCATCGATACTCTTCTTATAAAAATAAATTAAGTGTTTTGTAAATTTAACAAATAAATTTTCTTATGATAAATTTGTAAAATAAATTAAATTGGATTTGCTAATTAGTTAATTAAATAATTAATTATTTGTTCTAAACATTAAAAGAAATAACTTAGTTTTTATTAATTTAAATTCTAAAAATTATCTTAATTTTTAAATAATTGACAATAATTATATTTTTTTTCCAATAAGAATTCGATTTTCAAATAGTAAGAAAAATCATATGTTTTGAATCTTTATTTGAGAATTCATAATTGCTAACTCACGTTTTGCATAGTAAAGAATCTCATAGGAATAATTCAATACAACTCTAATAGTAATGGTCTTTAAATAAGGAAATCTATATAAGGTAAAAGTGTTATTCGATTTTAAAGTCCCTTCCTACCTAGTTTAATTACGAAAAATATAATAATAAATTTTAGGTGATCTTAAGATTCTTAAATTAGGAAATAATTAAATAACTATTTCGTCTAATATAAAAAAAAATTTAAAGGGTAAAATAAGGGAATAACATTTCGCTAAGTACTTTTATGCTTTTAATATAGTATAGATAAATAGATATAGATTTTATTGCTCTAATGATGAGATGCACAGTTGCCCCAATATTTTGGGACGGTTCTAGTTAAATCTATCAAAAAGTTAACGTACCATTTCAATAAATGGAGAAAGAAACAAAAATTCAAAATAACAATTTGTTAAAAAATTTATTTTGCCTGTTTTTCGCTTTTGGTTACCAAATTAGCCGATAACTCTAATGGAAATAGACTAAAAAGATGTAAAAATTATGTATAATTTGGATTTGACCAAAGATTTAATTTTATAATATTTAACTATTCAAGTTCAAGCAAAATTTAAATTATTTATAACAAAACAAAAAGGTTAAAAACTTGAAAAATAAATATGCGTGATGGGGATTTGGAAATATATAGAATTTTATTATAATTAACTATCTAAGTTTGAGACCAAGAATAATTAAATTATTTCTATCAAAATAGAAAGGGCAAAGCCTTGGAAAAAAAATTGCCTACGGTTCCTAGCATGGTTAAAAAACAAACTTGGAAACCTAGAAGGATTTAAGAAGAGTCCTCGTATTTAGGATTTTGTATATATTTAAAATAAGAAAGTATTTGATAAACAAATTTTTAGTTAATTTCAAAGTCCAAAATATTAGGGAAATAGTTAAATGACTATTTTGTCTAGTATAAACTTTATCTTTAGAGGGTAAAAAAGGTGAACGATATTTCGCTAAGGGCCTTCGTGCTTTTAATATAGTATAGATATAGATATAGAATATAGATAGATATAAATAGATAGATATAGATAAATAGATTAATATTCTGCCAAACTTTTGCGCATCACGCGGGAGTTGTTATACTAGTTTAACTAATAATGGAAATAGACAAGAGTTGTTTGAGGCATATTAACAATCAACTTTTGATGAAGTTTGAGTCATAGCTTAGAAATTCACGGAAACTGCATTCGGTTTATCTTAACTTTGACAATTGTCCCCTCTTAACTTCTTTTGAAATTCAAAGTTTCCTCTTAATTAAGTAGCAAAAGAAAAAGAAAGACAAACACGAATTTACTCCTATCGGAATGCTGTTATGGTTAACAACGTTAACATACACTCACGGATTGGCTTATGGTTTTCTTTGAAATCTAACAAGTTAAATTCACTCTTCACCAATTACAGCAAAAGAAAAAGGAAACTTCAGGAATTGCTGAAATCGTCCAGTTATATAATTTCTAGTAATCTACCAAAAGTTCAAAAACATATATTCAGGTTTCTATTTAAATCTCAGATATTTCTCTAAGTCGAGGGTAAGTAAGTTAAACAACAGACAAGAAGAAAACTTGTACGTGCATGACAAAGACTATAACTCAAAGTTGCACCTTATTAGCTTTTTAAAAATAAAATGGACAATAACTGTGAAAACTCACAAGCTTACAAAAGAGATGGGCTAAGAAAATGCACTATTGAATTGCAGTATTTATATACAACCGAAAAAAATGCTAAGAAAATATGAGCATGCCACCTGTATTTTATGTGTCTTTTTTCATCAGTATTCTTTTTTATTTTGGATAACGGTGTTATCAAGCCAACATGCACGCACGAACTACTTCACCTAGTATATGCTACTGCGCACCAACATATGCCGACCAAAGCTTTGACATACGGAAAGAAATAATCCAATCTTTTCATCAATATTAGAATAGTTTCTATCATAATCTGTACAATGGCTCATCAATATAGCTCTAGTAAGACAATTAGAAGCATGTGGACACTTTATGGGTGATATTATCTCTTCCTAGTTGTCTGAGATCTCTCTAAGTCAAGTGTCCACCAGTTTAGCACATTTATTTACAATGAGGAACTATATCTTCTATTCCAATCTAATAAAATCACTGCACGCCATTCATCCATCTTCTGATCTGTAGTACAAAGTAAGCCCATATAAGAAACACTAATAAAATAAGGTGAAATGAAAATGTTGCAGGAAGAAATTTGATAAAGATAAGACAAATATATGTTTCACCACTCCAAGTAATTAAAAAGCAAACTAGTTTGGTAAATGAAACGCACTTAACTTTCTTATCACCAAACTCATCCTTCATATTTTAAAGTTAGAAGAGAGCCATACCATGTATTGGTTCCATGTTGTCTTCCTTGTAAACACCAAGAGGAGAGTCATGCACCGATAGAAGCACTTCTCCGGTCTTAGGAAGCCTTAGAGTTTTGGGTGTCATCCCAACAGATAATTGATTGTTATTCACCTGTAATTGCAAAATAGTTAAGAGTATGTATGCTGGTGCATATACTAGTCAACATTTCAAAAAGATTGCAGACATTCTTCTCAAAGGAAAGATTCATGCATGACTACACGAGCATTGTTCCCATAAAACTACATGCCAGTGAAGTCTGATGGCATATCTAATATATAATACTACCCACTGGTCCAGTTGTCCAGGTGCAGAAAAAGCAAAAATGAAAGACGATGCTTCATGTTTCTGGGTATAAATGTTGCTTAAACATTTCTATCGAAATGCCTGTTAGGAGATATTAAATGAACACATTCATTCAGCCACAAAATACAGAAAAAGAAAAAATGATACGGCAAAAAAGTAATAACTACGTGAACTATGCAAAAGTATTTTGAAGCTACATACACCAGGAGTCTGATGAGTATCCTGCAGCTCAAACATCTGAGCATCAGATGGCTCTTCTAGAACCTACAAATGCAGAATGACACAAGGAATAAGAAGAAAGAAACCATTACAATATATCACAGGTCAGAAAGTCTCATCAGGTGATCAATCAAAAGAAATAGGAAGCTTCATAACTGAACACTTCTACAAAGCTAGGAGATAAGCCAGTGCCAAACGCCACAAATGACTTTAAACTGCCCTCACCTCCACCAGAAAATTGAGAAAAGAAGAAGGTTGCAGAGTACCAACTAGCTTTCTTACTTCCACAAGTTAAAAGCTAGAACTTAAATGAAAGAGCATGCATGCAAGCAAAGCAACTTGAAATTGAAATATGGTATTGCAAGATTAATGGCATGATAATTAACCATTGAAAGTCTAGCAAAAAGTAAACGAACAGCATAACATACGAATTGCTTGATCTCCATGTTTTCAGCACCAAATAGAGTTGCTTTAACTGTCAACAATTAGATAAAGCAAGTCAGAGAAAACAAACTCAAGAACCTTGAATTTTCAGAAAAGGATGTCAGAGGAGAGACTTTAAGATACCGGATTTGCTTGAAAGTCCAAATCCACCAAATGATGGTATGGCATTGGAGCAAGCAGGGTAAGCCATTGACAGCTGTTGTAGAAGAGAAGCAGGCAGATATCTTCCATCAAGTTGGTCGATGCTTAGATTATCATCAGCCTCCTTCCATTTCACTTCATGAGTGCCATCCTCTTTCCTAGTAACAGCTAGGTTCGGAAGGTTTTCCCTAAAAAATTGCATTACTGGAATTTGCAGCTGTTCTTCATTGAAATTCGACCGAAGCAAACACAGCTGAGTTAGTAATTGTTCTGTCTCCACATCACGAATGGCCCTAATTGCAGCACTTTGACGTTCAACTAGAAAAAGATGGGACAATAATTGAGCTGTAATAGATAATATCAGATTTTCAATCACGTTGAATTTATAAAAAATCTCAAAAATTGAGCCAAAACAGAAAGAAAAAGTTCTGACCAAAGGTGCCTTTATGGCAGTTCAGCAGTCATTTATCATGCTGGCCACACATGGAAGAACGTTCAATAGAATGGCTAATTCCAAATGGACCCTTTACCCAAAAAAGAAAAATAAATGGACCAGCCATCTGTGGGATTAAATGGACCCTTTGTATACCTTATTGTTGCATAAAAAGGAAATACATCGTTTGGGATAAAAAAAATTAGATGATACTTGTTTGACATTTTGAGATGAAATTGCATCCAAACAAGAAAAGTTACACTTCAGAATGTATGAGGCATACCTCAAGCTTAAAACAGTGTTAAATTAAACAACAATAAGGTAACCATGCTAACCTAAAAGTTGATGTTTGATCAGCAGCTAACTCAGATTCTTTTTTTTACAAGCTAAACAAAGCAAAGGTGTCACTAACTTCGAGAAGTCTGCTCAAAATTCCATGAGGTTGTTAGTCTAACTATAGTGAAGCCAGTCACTTCCAAAGTTAATGTGTTCCATCTTTAACAATGTTTAGTTATGACGCCCTGTGAGGGTAAAAGATAACACATATCAGATGATAATATATACAACTAAGGAAGAGCAAAGTGGTGTGGTCTAATTATAATGAAGCCAGTCACTTCCATATACTCTCTTCCATCGACCTCACTTATAGTAGGATGAAAGGGATTATAAGGTGATTGCGCTGATTAGTGAATAGTAATGTTTTTCTACTCCACTCTCCAACCCTTAATATCTCATTAAAACAACAACCAACAACAACAACCTACCCAACAACCTACTCCACTCTCCAACCCCCAATATCTTATTAAAGTAAGAAGAAATAAAAAAATTACACAAGCAAGTTTCTAGATAAAAGCAAATAGTGCAGAGAGCTTATTTTTTCTTGCTATTAGAGTCGCGAGCTTGTATTTTCCTTGTCGCGTTTCCATAACTTCTTGACATCAGAGGAGCCTCATAGAGATAAAGCTAGCAAATGAACAATTTTTCTCCTTTTTGGGCAGCATGCACAAGAAAGAAATGGAAGAACCAAGTAACAACACTTATTTCATGACATGAACACAAAGCACTAACACAAATGGAGAAGAAAACATACCATTTAGAATATAACTTCAAAGATGGCAAACAGGTAAAATAGCAGTTTCTGCTCTAGGAATTTTGTGCCCCAGTTAAATAAATGAAACTGTTATCCGATTCCTGCTTCCAGCATGTTTGTTTTCAAAGATAAGTGACACACTCTTCTTGTTTTTATTTTATACTTTTTGGCATAGTTTGCACATAACTGACATAATATTTACCCACATGTTAAGTAGAACAAAATGCACAAGAAGATAGTACCTTCGTGATTGATTAATATATCATCTTCCTTTTCCACTTGATGCTTCTCCTGAGCATCCTTCGTGATTTTTTGACTCTTTTTGCAAGTTCTTCCTCTCTTTCTGGCCATTGAATGGAGAAATTTTCTGCAAACACTTTTCTCATACTAAGTTAGCTTTTTTGTTTTCTTTTGGGAGGAATACAACTTTTTGTTACTATAATCTGCTATAGTTGTGGTAGTATGCTGTTGTTTAGATATAATATTGATCAAAGCTATATTTCTAAACATGCTATCGCTCAAAAATAAAAATTACATCCAAAGTGCTCATATTATGCATTAACACTTGAATTGGTTATCACTTGGCACAACATGGAGATCACTGTCATTAGACTTAAAAATGGTTATGTAATGTTTAGTCAAAATTAAACTTATCTTGCTATATTTGTTTATTCAAAAAAGAAAGAGACTATTCAGAAATATCTCCTTTTTGCTAGTTACATCTTCATTAATCCCTGGAATATAAAGCACCTTCATAAAACCAAGGGGAAAAAAATACTAGGTGATTTATTCCCATCCGCCTCAGCTGTGGTGAACAAATTTACACCGTATATGTTGATAGGATGTAGCAGGTACCCAGTAGAATAATCGACTTTGGTGGACAGAGTTACTCGGCATGTGTGCCAGTGGGGGATAGCAGATACCCGGTTGAATAGTTGAGGTGCGCGATGGCTTTGACACCACCATCATCAAACTAATAACAGTATTGTTTCATTTACATTAAAGTAAAATTGTTATTGCCATCTATTATAACGAAATACTCATTACAAAGAGAAAAAAAAAATAAAGGAATTCAAATGCATGTAGAGTTACTTGTGATTTAATTATTTAGGAAACAGCGAAATACTAGCACACATACACCTTTATTTATGCTTAATTTATATTTCAAACAAATCCTTAAAAGTGATAACTGTTCACAACCTCAATATTGATCTAATTTTAAGTTACTCAAATTTTATTTCATTACGAATTAATGAATTTAAAAAATGTCGGTACCTTACAGCTCGAATTCGCCGGAGAAAGAGAACGCGAGACGGAAACCGCCAATAGAGTGGTGTTACTTGTCCGCCTATTCAGCCAACGGAGAGACTCCGGCGTAACTTGAAACTGAATCAACCTGCCGACGTTTTTTTCCAACTTGCGAAGTTCGCAGCAGGCTTCGACTTTCGATCAGCTATTTCTGAAAATTAGTCTCTCACACACACACACCCCTATATACACCGGGGTCCGGAGGGGATCTAAAAGTTTGAAAATGGCTGTGGGTTTTATGGGCGGGCTTTCATTTCTGGAAAGAGAACTAAAGTTGAACCGGTAATGCATGTACACTTTACACCGGCACAAATTAAAAAATAGTCACATTTACACGTGTCATTCAAAAATAGCCATAGTTTTAAAACTCATCGAAATCTAGCCACAAAGACAAATCTGAACTAAAATACTGTTCAAAATACGGAAAATACTCCAGCATAATATACTGAAGTTCTAGTATACTTTGCTGAAACTCCAACAAAGTATACTTGAACTCTAGTATATTATACTGGAGCCAACAAAGTATATCGGTCCAGTATAATATGCTGGAAGTTTATACACAGGTGTACCAAACTCCAGTATATTATGCTAGACCGATCTTTGTTGCAGCAAAATAGTGGCTATTTTTCAATGACTTGGCAAACGCTGGCTATTTTTGAATGACCAGTCCGAAAACTGGTTAGCCCGTGCTATTTTAACCTTTACACTAAACCAATGTCCAATACACGATATGTGTTTGAATGTAATCGTAGTTAATTATTGCTATTTATTTTACTAAATCACTTAACCATGATAGTTAATATAATCTTATGTAAATATTCGGTGTAGCTAAATTTTTACGATTGAACCATATCTAATTCCAACAATTTTTCAACAGTCTTTCTAGAGAACGAATATCTGTTTAGAGGCTTAAATACACTCTACTCGATCTAAAAGTCATATTCTTCAGTTACTTGCCGTCGTTGATTGAAAACATAATCCTCTTTTAGTATAGAACACCACAACCAACAAAGGAGAAAGCTTTAAAAGTGTTAAATTATTAATAAGTCAAGTTGGACAAGTTTCGTTACGTTTGAGAAAAAGGATAAACATAACATATTACAATTTTGAATAGAAAAAAATTCATCTTTAACACAATGCATACCAACCCAACTAAACTTTTGGACTGATTCGTTATGAAAAACTTACTGGCTCAATCCGCGTAACCCACCAAAATTTGTCGCAACTCACCCATTTGACAGTCACTATACAACGTGATATCCCAGATATGTCCTTAATATAGAATATACACCTACAGTTTGAGTTCCTTTAATGTTAGACAGAGGATCATGGAAGGAGAAAGAGGACTATAACAATTTGATATACAATTATTGTGTAGGGAATTCTACTTGTACACAATAAAGCTTTGACCAGTGTACATATATACCTACTTATAACGAACTTCTACGTCTTATAGTGGTTTTTTTTTTTTCCAAAAATTCCGTTTCCACAGTTAAGGCGGTCTTGCTAGTTTACAGTATTTCAGCATCATCATATCAAAGGCAAACAGAGAAGGTAAAATGTCACGCCCCAAAATCGAGGGGCGCGACCGGCGCTCGACCGGGTAACCCAGTCAAGCGGACCTGGGTGTCTTTCCTATCCCACATGTTACCCCGCGTTTTCATTATTCGTTAACCAAGTGAAATAGTCATTTATGGTTTAAACACATTCTTATGAGATTTACATATTTTACATGGTTACTTGGCGTGGTTTACAAGTTACACTGCCCAAATACAAAATACATAAGTACATAACCCATATTTCCTCGTCTACGGAGCCTCTAAGGATACAAAAAAGTGTTACAATACTTACCGGTAACAAGGCTCCGGCTATACCTTACGCAAATACCAAAATAAGATTTCAGGGAGGAAAAGCGGCATGAGCCACGCAGGGCACCGAGAGGAAAAAGAGGCTCACCAATACAGCTGACGGAAAGTGAAGGAGTGCTACTATTGGTGGACTGGAGTACCTGCTATAGAACCACCTACAGTCATAACATGAAACGACAAAAGGGACGTCAGTACATTTGAATTATACTGGTATGTATGAACAAACTTTACCCCAAGTAAAAGGTAACAAATAGTAATAGAATCAACAATCCAATGCACATGAAAGGAACAATCAAAACCAAACAAGTTCCACAATCTCTCCTTTCCCCCTTTCAACATTATTTCATCACATCAATGGTTTCACAACTTTCACATATTTTTATTTCAAT